ACACAACCTAGAACAGATAATGGATGTCTATTCTATTAACATTTCTCTATCTGTATAACGGGTTTGTTTCAACTTCCTACAATTGGCTACTTTTCTGGAAATCCCACCTCTTTAGAAAGTTTTTTCCTCCTACTGAAATATGAACTTTAATAAAAGAGGATTTTATAGGAATCTGCATTATTTTTAAATGCAGTTAAATAATTATAGGCTGTAATATTTCATGAGTAAAGCGGCTGATTCAGGATGAAGAAGATGAGCAGAGCTTTGGAGACCTGCTGGAACGTTCTTGAGTTCCTTCACCTTTATTTAAACCTGACTGCTGGCTGTAAACGGATCAGCTGTCAGATTTCTGTCTCCCAATATTAAACAGGAGTTTGATCATCCAGTAATCCACAGACACGTCAAAGCAGATTTCTACATATACATATTTTAATCAGCTTAGAAAACAAACACTGATCAGACATTCATTTGGTGGACATTTCATCCCGCTGATTGAAGGAAATAAAAACAGGAAGCATAACAATCCCTCGTCGAATCCTTTGTCTTGCGGCTGACGTGTGAGCTTCAGGGTGTGGGTGGGCGAGGATCTATTTTTATTTATGTTTGCAGTTTTATCTGAGCCCGGCGGCAGAGCTGCCGTTTCAGTGTCTCCGTGATAAAACCATACAGCGGCTTCCGTTGTTTTCTTTGCGTAGTTGCCATGGCGACCCTTAAGGCCATGTCACGGCTAATTGTCTTCAGAGCTCCTGGTGACGGCCGGTCTGCCTGTCCCTTCAACATTTGCCTGAGCAGATGGATGTCACAGCAGAAGATGCTTCTATTCCTTTTGCTCCCTATGGGAGTGGGGGGGCCGTGGGTAGCCCTGGGGGGCGGGGTCATGGAGACCTGGCGTTTAACAGCTGAACAGTCTTCCGGCCGTAGTGCCAGTAGCTGTATCCGGATGCTGCTGTGGTCACAGCTGTAACATACCTGAAACATGAGCAGCAGAGATAAAGTTATAACCAGCCCTGATCACAGCTGCCAGGAAACCAGGATCCCTCCACACCTGTTGGACCCAGTTTAGTATCGATACACATCATTATCCAGCAAGACATGCAGTAAATCAATCCAATGTTCAGTCAGGTATGATTGTTCCTTATCCTCTTACACCCTAAGGGGGTATAAATAAATTTCTGCCTGACAAAAACACACAAAAGTAAATCACTTAT